AAAAAGAAAAAAAATTAAAATATATCTTATAAAAAATTATTATATAGATTGAATTAGAAAAATTACTATATTATGAATTGAAAAAATACTTACTCTGCACTTTTCTCGGTATGAGGCATGGTATTAGGCATAGATGCCGACATCATTCTCGCAGTTCTTTTCCTCCACTGCCTAACATTACGGTAAAGAAATACAGGCTTACGTCCTGCCAAGATCCTGCCTAAACTCCAACCATTCCCATCCATCTACAACAATCGATTTATGTTAACTTTTTTAACAAGTACACCATGATATGTGAATATAGATTTCTTATGATAATGTTCATTACACTATCGTGGGAAATTACTACTAAGTTCAATATACTTCAGAGCTCTTATTACAGTACAATTACAAAATAATTTATTACAATATTTTACACATTGTACCAAGTTACAAACATTCCTTTTATATATTTTACGCTTTTTTTCAAATAATAATAATAAAAGAATTTAAGTAAAAAAAAAAAAAAAAATTATAAAACAAACTACGATCAAATATAAAAATAAATAAAAAGTATATTCAAAAATAATGTTCAACTTTTCTACATAAAAACAGAATTTTCATAAGAGTTTTTCACTTATTTAAAAGGAACTTATTTTTTTTGTCCTATCTTTCTTCTTTTCTTTTTCGAAGAAATTATTTGTCATTATGTGATTGTCATTATACACTGACACATTTAATCGCTTACATATATCTGTAAATAATTGTATTCTAGAAATAAAAGTTATTGATTTGAAAAAACATGGATAGGTAAAAGGATATTTTTTAAAGAATATAATAAAAAAAAAAATTAATATTTTAATAAGGAGAGGCTTTATGTACGAAAATAATAAACGAAATTCAAACACATTAAAAAAATGATATGTTGCAACTTGTTGTTTTACTATTTTTTAACATATTATCGGTACTTCATAAATAATTAATAAGTAAATAACAATTTCTTAATTTAAACAATAATATATTAATTATAAATCATAAATTTTCATTCATAAATTGAATAATTATATATTAGCATATATATTAGCATTTAGTACCAATAATATCTGAAAATAATAAAACAAATTTTTTTTAATAATTTTGCGTGGACAAAATAAGTGAACATAAGATGAAATGAAAAATGAATATTTAAAACAATATTTTTAGTTCAATTTTCGATCTATGTAAGTACATTCATAGACGACGAATGAACTATTTAAATCGAAAGCACAACAAAAAAGGCGACGTAATTAACATGATTTGGATGAAACTGTTTAACAATTTCAATTTATGACAGTTTTACTATTTTTAAATACAAATGTGTTAGAAAAGAGATATATTACTCTTAATATACATATATTTATCAACGTTTAATATTCAAAACACACATGACATAATATTGAAATGATAAAGCAGAATAAATCGAAGCTAAGCGAGAGAAAATATCTAAAATAAAAATTAGATGAGGATAAAAACATAAAAATTTCAACATCTGAATTAAATGTTTGTATGATTACGAAGTATTTAAATATAGTGTTAAAAAATATTTGGTTTACATTGTTTTTTCTCTTGTTTCATTCGTAAAAGCAGAGGCAAAGAATTCTTCTTCTTTTCTTTTCTTTCTTGTTACAAAAAATTAATATTATATCGGAGAATCAAAGTAATAAATTTAGTGGTACAAAATGATGTTAGACAATAATGTTTAAAAGCATTGTTCATGTATTTCAATATCTCTCTTCTATACAATATTATTGTTTATCTATTATTATATGTATATTCATTTCATATACAGATTACAGTTACAAAATATATATATATGTCTTATATATATATAGAGTTTAAAATTCACTGCATAAAGTGAAAACGGAGATATGAGCTTATAACAATCACATAAAATCTGTCTGCACGTACGATCTCATAGTCTCAATGAAACTATATTACAAATGTCACAGTAACGTTTAAATCAGATTATTTGTGGCAATAATTACATATATATAAATATATATATTTAGGTATATACATATATATGTATATATATATATATATGTATATAGTTTAAATTAATTTAAATTTGTGCCACGTTATCTAATAAAAACGTATTGAACCGTTAAATAAACGAAAAATAATATATATATATATACACGTACATAATACGTGTAGTTTTTCTCTCTCTCTCTATATATATAATAGCGCTTAAAATTCCATGATGCAGAGCCTTGTCAGGAAATGCATGTTTTACATTTTGTACAAAATACGAAGATATTATTCAATGAGGAAACAACGTTGCGAACACTGCATCTGAAAATCCACTTGCGTCATAAACGTGTTTCTATAGCTGTACAGAATACTATGGCAAAGAAAACTAAGAAGTAGTACCTGTTATCCATAAAATATACAAAACGTAGATTTTTCTTTATCTCGACGTCAAACAATAAAACTAGCAATCGTCAACAGTGTTTCTTAATGTTGTTTAATTTAAAAAAAGAAGTCCTAAACGACACAAATTAAAAAGCACATTTTCAATTATAAAGTTGGTTAACTCGTTCGTCAAACCTGCGGAGGATACGACATTAAAACCGATACTCTTGGGCTAAAGTTTAATAAGCAACAATTTATATAATTTGTACCGTAAAAAATTATTAACACCTTTGACAGAATTGTGTCATTTGAAAGAGAAGAATGTAGTTACGAGTGAAATTACAAAAAATTTAAAATTGAAGTATCAAACAAAAAAAAAAAAAAAAAAAAGA